AGATATCTGATCCTAAGGAGATACTTAATGGAGATAAGATGGAATCAGGTTTAAATTTCATCCTGATTGATGGAATTTGTGATTTCAAGATGCTTGTACATTTTTATCCTAAAGCATTACTTGCCATTAGGTCCATGCTGATGCTCAGAGACAATTCACTGATTAGCATTTGTACAAAACCTAGCCCAGCAGAATATAGGATGTGATCTGAAATCCCCTAAACTAAAAGCTGCTGAGTAATTGTAGAGTAGGTAGTGAAGCAGAGACCTAAAAGTGATTAGGGTGCAGTTACACTTGTGAAGAAATCTGGAGTTACTGTAATGTCAAGAGACATGTAGCCGGACCAGGCCAGGATCACCTGTGGTGAAGCAGTTCTCACAGACGTCTACATGTCAGTATGAGGCTGAAAACTCTCCTAAAACACACACATACACTCCTTTGACGGAAGAGGGCATTTAAGCAGAATGAGCTTTTTGCATTTGTACACTGCTTTGGGTTACTAATGTGGTCTTTGGGAAACCACAAGAGTTAAAGAGATGGGTTTTCCGTACACAGCCCCAGCCCTTCACATGGACAAACTGGCTGAAGGAGCAGGCAGCGGCAAGGACTTCACCTTCCTGAATCGTTACCCATCCTGCTGAAACTAATAGGAAAAAGAAGAGAAAGATTGCTGCCCAAGGTCCACGTGGATACACTGGAGTTCAGGGAGGGGGTGACATTCCTCTCCACAAAAGACGCTCTTGACCACCCAGAGCGAGCCAGGCCCCAGTGAACAGAAAGAGGGCAGATCAAGAGGCCAGGGCTTTTTTGTCTGGGCCTAATCCGACCCTCCTGAGAGGCTGGGTAAATCCTTTCCCATTACACCAGATCTGGCTACACCCTTTCTTCTTTTGCACCTTCTGAGGATAATATTGTTGAGGACTCACAATATACATCTAAATAGGCCTTTTTCTTAGCATGAGAATATGCAAGCAGAAGAGCTCAAATTGGATTCCGAAAAACAAAGACTAGAAACTTCCAACTACACCCTCCAATCGCTTTGAAAAGAAAGAACCGCAGAGTGTCTGATGAAGGTTTAAGCCTAAAGAGCTCTGGAAGATCATCTACTCTGCCTTTTCATTTTAAGATGAAGAAACAGATGCAGAAACGTCACACAAAAACAGAGAAAAAGATGAATGGTTCCTAAAACAACTGAGAGAGAGGAACAAGGAAAATCCTTAATGGACTTAAACGTGGCCATAAACCTCTGAGTATAGTTGAGAACACAGAGAACTTGAGTATTTATTTTTGCTTCCTGGAAATTTTTTTTTTTTGGTCTTTTTTGTCTTTTTTGTCTTTTTCTGTGTCCGGCAACGGATCGCAACCCTCAGTGTTGCCCCCGTACCGGACCGGGGACCGGCAACGGGATCGCAACCCTCGGTGTTGCTCCCGCGCCTCGCTCAGCCAGTGAGCGGGAACCGGTCTGTATGTGGGATCCGAACCCTCGGGCGGGAGCGCCGCCGCGCTTCCCAAGCGGCGCACTTATCCAGTGCGCCACCGGGCCGGCCCTTCCTGGAAATTTTATATTTGAAAATATTCCACAGCAACCTCATATTCAACATATCCCAAGCTAGACACACTCCTGCCAATGGCCTGTCCTCCTTGGTTCCACATTTTGGTAAAAGATGCCACCTTCAGTTGCCCAAGCCCGATATCTGGTAGTCACCTCACTCCCCCCCTCACATTCCATCTTTCACCACAGTCCTCCTGAATCCATCCCATCATGCACTCTGATCTTCATNCAGTGTCTGAACTGAGACTAGCCCTCAGGCCTCTCATCTCATAATTCAGAGTCCCTTCCATACACCACGCTGCCCTCCCTGGCATGGGTGGTGCTCCCACGAGTGGTGGTGGTGAGAGAGTCCTTGGATGCAGGTGGTCTTTAGCTTTTAGCATACTCAATTTACTATAATAAACTCAAGGACAGAGTCTTACAGGACAGCTTGCCTGGTAGATGTATAATTCAGCCAGGAAAAACAGCAACCATGGCACAGTAGTCCCAAACATGATGAAAAAATTCCA